ATAGAAAAATATTCACTGACCTGGTAAAATGGCACTTATTGATAATGGATTTGACTGCCGCTGACTGAGACTGTCAGCAACTCTGCACGGAGATTGCGGGCAAAATAACCAAATTAAATTCGTCGGTGCGCTTTTGCAATACATCAACTGTAATCGCACCGACAGCAGCGCTACAAATCTGAAATACAACGGTATAGCTTGAATGCGAATCAGAATTAAATGAATCCTCATGAAAGGTCAACCACACCAAAATAGCATATGCAAGACATTTGCAATCAAAAGGCTACATTTGAAAATATGTCGTAAAAATGTAGTGATGATTAATAGTTGTCATTTCAGTTTGTGGTACGAACTACATCTAAAAATCAAAACTAAATAGTTGAAAAAAACAAACCTCCGTAGTTCATGAGCTCTACCAACGCTTTCCAACTATTATAACCATTACCTGAAAATTAAAACTGGCATCAGAATTCCAAATGTGAATGTAAACATGCTCGAATACTCCGCACACGTTAGAAATCGTATAAACGGAACGTAAAAACATGCCCTAATTGATCTTTCCACAATACAAAAACCACATTGAAAGAACATGGTGGTGAGGGAAGTAACTCCGCTCATTACGTAAAAAATATCTGACAGGCAACCACGCCACGACTACCAAGCCAAATTCAGGAGTGCCCGTATGTACACGTTCCTCTCTCAACGCAGCAAATCATCTCTCTGTATAAACAGTCGAGAGCTCCAACCGACCGACCACTCAACGCAATCATTGATCGATCATTAACAAATCCAACCCGTAAAAGTTTATCACTCGCATGCACTCGTCTGCATTGGAATGTCCCACTATGCAAATTTCCGTTCAGCAAAAACGGTTTTGGGCGGAAATTTGCATAAATTTATTCTTCTTCACCTTTGCAACTGATGTAAATGCTAACATAACTGCATTCATTCTGTGCACTACTTGTAATGCTAATTCACGCATTCTCTGTCATCCCAAAAAGTAAACAAAAACAATTCACATTGCTAAATTATTATACAGAAAAATGTGAGCTGAAATGTTCTGAAAAGGAGATGGATTTGTTTTTCTTAATCACTTATCACTGACCACTGACCACTGTCCACCACTGACCACTGTCATTGTACTTTGAGTCTTTGAATCAATTAGAGATTTTTCTTAGTTGCAGTTTCTTACACTGCGAGTTTATTACATATTCAGTAACTATTAGCAGTACAGTTTTGAGAAAATTTGTCACTTATATTTGAGTAATTTTCATTGTTGGTTTTACTTTTTGTAACAAATCACAATTTATTAAATGAATTCCTTCAACTGATTCAACTGATTAAAATTTGTCACTACAGTAATTATCTTCTGTCACTATGGTAATTATTTTCTGCTTGTAGTAATGTACTTTTGTTAACACATTATTTTCTTCTTCGACAATAACTGCCCCCTATCACTACAGCAACTTTTTGTTTCTACAGGAACTCTTTTTATCTATACAGTAGGTATCTCTCACTTATACGGTAGCCGTCTCCTGTCATTTGAGTAATTTTCTGCCACTACAGTAGTTATCTTCCGTTATCACATTATCGTGTTTTCACAGTAATGATCCTCTGTCGCTACAGTCAGTTTTGTAAAGCTTCTACAGTAACTTTATTTCGTCACTACAGTGAATATCTCCTGTTACTACATTATCTTCTGCTCATGAATAATGCTGCTTTCAAAAAGTCAACATTATAATTTTTATTTCTGCAAAAGCGATACAACAATCAGATGTACATGAGTACATATAAAATAACTTGAATATATTGAATAATAATATTATCAATATTAAAAGCAATAAAGACTACAATTTATACTAGCAACAATCATGACAAAAACATTTATAACAGCAAAAATCATGAGTAGGAGAAAGGCTGAGTTGTCTTAACACAAGTTATAAAAAACAACATAAAACGTGAGAATTAACTATTAGACATTAAAAACTACTATAAAGAGAGTCAAAAAATAGGTTACAAGGGAATAACAGTCACAGTTGGCGGCAGCATTATGAAGTCTTTGATCATAGATATTTTTAAAACACGGAAATATGAATAAAATTTTTTTTAAAAACAAAATATGTAATAAAAAAAAAATTCAATACATTAAATTTGTAAAATTCGTCTCCCCAAGGAGCCAAATCATGTTCTCGAAGTAG